ATCACAGCTCTCTGAGCTCTTTCCTTTGGCCAGTTCCCAATCTACCTCACTGCCCAATGGTCCAGTCCACACTTCCTAAGCTTGGCTATGAGAAGGCCATGGGACACTGTGTCAAAAGCTTTGCTGAAGTCAGGGTAGAACACACCCACTGCCTTCCCCTTGTCTATCCATCTAGTGATGCCATCATAAAAAGCTATCAGATTCCCCTTGTGGAATCCATGCTGACTACTCATGATAAGCTTCATTTCCTCAACATGCTTTGAGATGGCACCAAGAACAAGTTGTTCCATCATTTTTCCAGGGATGCAGGTGAGGCTGACTGACCTAGAGTTACCTGGGTCCTCCTTGCCTTTTTTGAAGATTGGGGTAACACTGGCTTTCCTCCCAAGAGGAACTAAATAACCACCCTAAGGTGGAGGATACCCAGGCCCCATTTCTGAATTTTTTCAGTGGGGTAGTTGTGGGAATACCCAGTTGTTTATTCCAACAAGGGCCTTTTGTCCAGCCAGGAAATAGAGCTGCTTACTCAAAGGACTGTTTTGGATCATCGAATAAGTTGATCCAATGCACTTCACGTTACAGTCACAGCATCAGTGAATTGACCCTGTATTCCAGTCTGTGTTACTACATGAAAAAAAGGAAGAAGGAAAATTAATTTCTTTGATGAAATGAACCATCTCTCATTTCAAGGATTAAGAGATGTCAGGTATTTCTTAAATAAGGCTACAGGAGGGAAACAGCCCACAGAAAGCAGGTGTGTTTGACCCATCAGGATGGTTACACAGCTGTGTAAGGCAGAGGACCTGGACTGCAGGTGTCATTGGCTCATATGGAAAACTTGGAGCCAGAGGGATCCCCCCAAATGAAGTCAGGACAGAGGATGGATAAATTACTTATCTTGAGTCTACCAGGGTTCTGGCCTGGCCCTGCCTCCCTTTACTGGGATCTCTTTGCTTGCTCTGAGCCATGTCTGACAGTGCCTGCAACACTAAATCCTGCTCCGTCGCACTGCAGCTTGTCCCCCACATGCCTGACCTCAGCCCCAGCCCTGCCTCCTCCTTGTCCCCAAAGCCGTGGTGCCACCTCGGCTCCTGGCCTTGTCAGAGGTGCGGAGAGATGAAACCCAGGCCGCACCGGTTTTCAAGAGCTGCCATGACTGGACAATCTGAGTGCAGGACGTAGAGTCCTGCTCCTCCTTGGGTTGCTGGAGCCAACCCCAGGATCAGCGTGGCAGCATCTGCTGTGTACACAGAGCAGAGGAGACAAACCACAGCCCGCTCCCATCCCCATGAGCTGCCTGGCCGCGGGTGGCTGCACTCACCACAAGCCGAGGATGCTCAGAAGACAAGGTCCCGTTACGGCTACCAGCAGCCAGTGCCATTCCCGCACCAAGTACGCTACCATGGCCAGCAGCATGTTCCCGATGCTCCAGAAGATGCTAGTCAGGATCCCGGAGAAGGTGCGGTGCTGTATGTCCACCCACTCCATCCCTGGAAGAGGGAGGCAGTGTTCAGCTGGGACACATGGGACTTCTCCAGGAAGGGGTGTGCAGGGGCTTTTAACAAAATGAGGGAATGTCCCTGTTCTTCTCCTCCAGGAGATTTCCACTGTTTTGCTGACATCTGGCACATTTAAAACGTTCATCCACAATGCTTAACCCCTTGCAAAGCTGTAGGCAACCAAGATAAAGCCTTAAAAGAAGAAATACTGGACACACAGTAAGAAACAGTGCTAAAAACACCTTAGGTGATACTTTTTAAAATTCCACTCAGTAACATTCAAATGGTCATCTTCATCGAGCAGATAATTTATTTTCCCTAATCATCTTGCCTGCACAGTTTCCCATTTCTCTGCCCTCTCATTATTCCAGATGAATCATCATTTGTGTGGAATCTACCTAAAGTAGATACTAATGCACATGTAAAGCCAGGACAGAGGGGGGTCTCCTTGTTTGTATGTGTGAACTAAAAGCCATTTTTCCTCCAAAGATCTGGACATCTTGCTACAACCTCTAACAATCAGCCATGTCCCTCCCAGGCTCCACTTTTCCTTGCAGGCATCAACCTTTGTAACAATAAAAAAAACATAGCAGGCCTTGGAATTTGACACTTCTTGTGTGGACTTTTCCAGTACTGAAGGCATTTTAGCTTTATTTTGGCTGTATCTGAAAAAATCCTGGAAATTTTTGCTGTGCCTGTAACTTGCTCTTGGGTACAATGAGTTTTGCCTACTACATCCTGACGGTATCTACAAAATCATCCGGTGCTCTGTTGGGTACCCTCATGTTTGGTGCTTGTTTTTATTATGTAATCACCCAAATTCTTCAGCTTCAGTTTTGCCTAGCTCTGTGGGTGTGGGGCAGTTTTTTTTTTTGGTGGTTCTTTCCCCCCACTCTTTCTAAAAATACGCATTGGGAACTTAGGAAAACTGTGAGCAAACGCAAGACTGGGGAGGTAGAAACACCCTGTGAATGACACACCATCCTCCTCCTCCTGAGGACATGGCAGTGCTGATGAATTTTCTTAATGGAGTGTTCGAAGGCTGAGAACTCAGTATCAGAGGAAAGGGACAGATATTTTGCCCTGTGGCTTTTATTGCACTGCTGATGATCCTTAACAGGAATCGGGTAGCATGGATTGCAAGTGTTAATGTTGCAACAGAAGCACTAATAAGTGGGTTTTATATTTTGAGTAGACTGTTAAAGCATTAATTAGTCTAACAGACACTGGTAATTCTTGGATCCTCCCAAGAGGGATGTTCTTTTGGCTGCCTGTAGTGAAATTACGCACATAACGATTTCCAAACTCTCATTCCTACTAGCTCTGCCCTGTCTGGTAGACAAGTCCCTACCTACCCACTGCCTGTCAGAAGTCCCCCTGTACAACTGGGCACCCCCAAACCCCCACATACTTACCCAAAGGTAATACAATAAGGGAGACGCCACTCAGGGCCACCCCGGTGAGGGTCCGCGTGATGGCCAGCATGCTGTAGGAGATGGAGGCGGCGCTCAGCATCCCAAACACGACAGAGCACACAAGTGACAGCAGGAGCATGGCTTTCCGTCCGAACCTGCCACGAGCACAGGCTGGGTTACAGCGGCTGGAAACCTGTCCCAGGAGTAAGGTTTGGAGTGGGGCAAAACAAAGACTCAGAAAGGAAAATATTGCCTGCTCTGCAAAGAGCAAAAGATGCAACGTGCCAGGGAGGAGGAAGCAGCTCTGGATATAGCCAGTGCCACAGTGGTACAATCCCAATCCGAGGACCAGCCTGCCCCATGAGCATCGGGCATGAGGCTCTCCAGTGGGAAGAGCAGCACTGATCAAAACAATATGACTTCAGCCCCTTCACCAAAAGCAGCGATGTCAGCTTGGAATCCCATGCTGCTGGCACACCCTGCTCCCTCCAGAGGCTGTCCCCATGCCTGGCTCAGCATGTCCCCCTCCTGTGGCTCACTCGGGACCAGCCACTGCCACCGCTCTTGGGGAGGAGACAGAACCGTGACACTTTCACCCAGATCCTTGGAAGGAAAACAAAGATCCCAAAGGAAAATAAAAGGAATCCAATTGTCAGCCCACATGTGCAAATAGCCCTGATGTCCTAAGGGGTCTATGAGGAATCTGCTAGGAGGTTGTTCCCCAAGGGTTTTGGAAGTTGTAGGATGATGTTACCCCTGGTGCTGTGTCCTGTGTGGAGAGCGTGGAGAAATACAGAAAATCAAATACACAAATGCACATGTATATACGTCCCCTCTGCCCCACCCAGCCCTCCCCCAAGAAGTACATGTGTATGTGTTTCTACACAACCTATGCAAATCTAAAAATCAAAAGGGAGCACGGCACCAGTCTTCTGACGAATATCAGCACTGCGTGTGACGAAAGCTTAGGTTCAAACAGAGTAGTAAATCAACCCTGTCAATAGGTAATGTTCAGTCTATAGGGAATGAAATCCTGGCCTGATTCTGGCAGTGGGGCTCTCTTAGTGGCCACCTGAGAAGGATGGTGTCAGGAATGATTGCTCCAGGGCAAAAAGTGATGTGCCGGGACATAATGCCACAATTAACATTCTTAAGAATGATCATAAATGACTTCATGCAGCAAGCTAATGAATCTACTGAAGAAAAAACAGCTTGTGGCTTGGGCCCGGGCAGTTTGCTGGATCTGCTTTGAAATTTAAACGGATCCAGTTTGCAAAAGCCATTGTAATGCCCCTGGATTGGAGCAGCACACACCCAGAAACACACCGGAGCTGGATCTGGCTTCCAACAGGGTAACTGCTTAAGAAAGAAGGTAATTTTTTTTTTTTTAGATTAAGATTTTTCTTGAAAATACAGTAAGAAGAATATAAAACCATAAGATTCTCTGCAGGGCACAAGGCAGCTATTTATGGACCCATTACTAGACTTTGTCAGCAAATGCATGCCACCTGCTAGGGAAACCAGAGGCGAGCTGGCAGGATTGAACAGCAAGGCTACAGGGAGGCTGCTAGAAATAATGCTGTTAAAGTCGTCTTCAAAAGGAGAGGTAGGAAAGCACAGTCTCTGAAAGATTAGATGTAGAAAATCTAATAAAAGGAGCAAACTGCACAAGCATTAAAAATTAATTAAAAAACCCCCTTTTTCATAAGTACCCCAATCTGGAAGTCTGCCAAAGCATCATTCAGTACAAGGACAAGGTACAAAAGGACTGTTTGGGAAAGAGCAGGCGATACCAGAAGCAATAGATATATATATATTTGCATATATGTGTTCACAGTGAAGGTTGTTGGAGGTTTTACCAGGGTAAAATTTGTCACTAGAGATGTTCTCAAATCCAAATGTCTGCAGAGGCTTAGAACAAAATGAACCTGCAAAATGCAAAACGCCAGGACCAGATTGTTTTCACCCTGGCGCACTAGAGATGAAATCTCTGCGTTGCTGTCAGCAGAGAGAAGTGGGACTTCTTCTCTGTCATGGAAAAGGAAGATGGCTAATGAGATGTCAGCTTTTAAGGGGTCTCAGGAGGGATAGAGGGCATGACACCTGAGGTTTAACAGCTCTGCCAAATTCACTGCCAGTTTTCTGGTTGCACCGCCCCAGTTGCGATTACACGGGCTTCAACCTTTCCCAGGGTAGCTCACATGGGCAGTGCACAGTCAGCTCTGCTCCAGGCTGCTCAGGAGGGCACAGCTGGCTGGCAAACCCGCCATGGCTGTCACTTTAGCAGGCTGAAGGGTCCCGGTCTGGCTAATTGGAAGTCAAGCCATAACCTGGTCTTTTTTGCTAGCTTCTCTGAATTTTCTCCATTTCTTCTGTAACCTTTTGAGGTGGAGAAGGAGCGTGAAAGTATTAAAAGTATACAATATGTGGGGCCACCATACATTCACATGTTACTGCATAGTGATATTCTCGGTAATTTTATATTCCTTTCCTAATGATTCTTTATTTTCCATTTGCTTCCCCAGCCACTGCTCGTTGCTGAGTGGGTGTTTGCCTAGAGCTGTCTGCCATAGAATCACAGAAGGGTTTGGGTTGGAAGGGACCTTACAGACCAGCTAGTTCCAACCCCCCTGCCATGGGCAGGGACACCTGCCACTAGACCAGGTTGCTCAAAGCCTCATCCAGCCTGGCCTTGGACACTTCCAGGGGTGGGGCATCCACAGCTTCTCTGAGCAAACCCCAAAATCTTAACCCCCAAAAGTCTTGTTCCTGAGCAGCTATGGTTAGCTCAGAGGCCTCAATTTTAAATGAGAAGTTAGAATTTTTTTTCTCTTTACTATAGATTAATCTTGTCTCTACCAGCCTGGTCAACCAGCATCATCTCCCCACTCACTCCTTTTCCAGATGATTTATCAATGTGCTGAAAAGCACACAAATCCAAGCATAGCCCCCCCCAGGTCTCCCTCCATTGTCACAACTGAACACTTACACCTACTCCTTCCTTCCTGGTTTTTAATCAATTATTTAGTTGTGCAGAGACCTTCCTTCATATCTCAGGGCAGCTCAGTTTCTTTAGGAGCCTTTACCTCGGAATCCATGTAGATGGTATCTCTCCCCTGTTCAGATGCCTGTTAGTGCATTCAAAGGAATCCAGTGTGTCTTTAAGGCAGGAATCTTTTCCAAATACCCCTCCGATCCTTCGTGTCGTATCAACCCATGCGGCCACTGACCCAGTCTTTCAGACTAGTTTTGACTGATTTGCCAGGTACAGATAGATGTCAGGCTGCCTGGAAGGTAGTTCCTGAGATCTTTTTGGGAAAACAGTTTAAAATGGGTTTGATATATGCTACTTCCCAGCCCTCTGCTGTGGAGGTCACACAGTGTCAACTGTGTTCCAGGTTTTTCATCCCAACGGTCTGCTAGGGCTCTAGGATGACCAGTGCCTTCTCCAGGCAGTTTACTGGCACTCACCGGCTGTATTTCTCCATGCCTCCTTCTAGGAGCTTATTTCAAAGCTCAGCTCCAACACCTGCCCCTACACCTTCTCCCACTGTGAGCACAAACTCATTTATGTCTCATACTACAGCCTTTTTATTTCCAGATACTCCTGTTACACCTGGATCTTCTACTGGCTCTTCGTCTGCACAATCCGTGTGAAAAATCCTTTTAGATTTGTCTCTAGCAGAGACCACCTCTTCTGCCCTATCTTGCCCTGCTTCTTCTCCTGATTCTGAATTCCTTTCCCTCCAACTGTGCTATGAAACCACTTGAGATACAAAGCCAAGACACGCAGTGTGAAGACCAGCCAGGTGTCTTGGGTCCTTGTAAAAGTGTACTGATGTACTCGTATGCCAAGATACGGATGTAAGAATTCCCATTTCAGCACTACCTCCCCGGGGCCTTCATACTGCGAAGCTGCTCCCCTCTGCTACGCAGTGATTTTGCAGCCTGCCATACACTAATGCGTGTTTGATCCCAGAGGAAGGAGGTCAAGAAGCAGTTTCCCGCACAGGCATTAAGTAATGAGTAGCGTGCAGGGAACAGCACACCCTGACCACATGCCCGCCCTATGTACCCTCTGGTAGGTTTCCTGCTTCTGCTCTTTGCAAAAATATTTAATTTCTTAATTGGTGTCCTTTCTAGCTTATTACTCAGGTGTTTTTTTTTCCATGTTTACATTATCACATTCTAATGTTTAACCAGAAAGAACAGATTTGTTCCTGATTCCTCATTACCTCAGCTCTTCCTTGAGGAATGCCTCCCTGCTTATAAGAACCTCCTTTACCCTACTTCTCTAGCAATGACAGAGCCAGTTTTTGCTTTCTGGAGACTCTTTTTTCCAGCTATGGCATTTGTTTGCTCTGAGCCCCTCACCTGGCTGTCCTTAAGCAATTTCCCTATAGCTTGCAAGGGGTTAACTCTTAGCCTCTTGTTTTGGCTTAGTTTTAACCAGCTTTCTCCTTTTTTTAGACAGTTGTCTTTTCTGAAATTGGTCTCACAGACAGTGGATTTTTTCAGTTTTTACTGTTCCTGCAGCAATGCTGACCACTCCTCACCGAGGGCAGAGCTGCTTCTCTGGTAGGCTCTGGAGCACTACTGGATCCATGGAGCACTGCTTCCCAGTATGACTTTAACCCAATTTTTAACGTGAGAGGCTGGATTCTCCCTTTACGATTGCGTCTTCTCCTTTCTCTGCCCCCCTGATCGCCTTTGGCAGGTCACAGGTTTGTGAAGTTCTCAGCGTGAGACTTAAGCCCTGGAGGAACAGCCTGAGAGGGGTCAAACCTGTCTGAAAGGTATCCGAATACCACGGCCCCCATCGTAACGCCAATGAAGAAGAAGGTTGCAGTCGCCTGGTTCAGTCCACGATGCTCGCACACGAGGTCCCACTGCAACACAAGGCCAAAATGATGCTTAGTGCCCCGTTTGGCCTTTTCACACCCTTTCCCTCCAGCGGTCAGCCGTCGTGTCTTTCATTTTATACCGGCTGAATTTGATTGAGGGGTAGACTCCTGCACTAAACTACTCATAGGATGGTGCTGGAGTCTTGAAAAATGTAATTCATTAGGGAATGTCATGTTGATATCCGGCTACTGTTGCCCTGACCAGTTTGAGGTTGCCCGTGCAGGGAGGAAGTCACAGAGGGGGAGTCACAGCAAATACTTGCCTCTGATGCTGACTTGCTGATTTCTTACTAAGTTGGTCGACATTCTTCCTACTGAAGTTAATAAGCATAATTTTACTTTCTTGGAGGTGCAAATGTCACTAATCATTACAGAATGCTGTGGCCAAACTGCAGAGTTGATTTTCTATATGTGCAAACTTGGCAAAACTTAATTTAATCATCAACCCAGCCTCACAGCCTCTTTGACAAAGCCAACCAGACCTTGGGCAACCTTTGCTGCTGCAAGAGCAAAAGACTCCAGGGAAAGCCCCAGCCCCTTGAACATCTCCAGGGACCACTGCATCGTGGGTGCAGCATCACAAGGCTCCATGATCAGCGTCCATGTGGGCACCTCCCCTGCCTTGTCCCCCAAGGGCGCAGGGTGCAGAAATTGGGTACAGACTTCGTGCACATCTGACCCTCACCTCTGTGCCTGAAAGAAACAGGAGTGGTTGGGTGGTGGGGAGGGGGTACCAGTTCTAAGTTAAGCCTTGAGCATGCATTCGCGGAGACAGCACAATCTTCCAACCCAACCATGCTCATTTCATCTACCCAAATTGCATCCAGCTCTAAACCAGTGATTTGGGCCACTTTTAAAGGAAGGAAAATTACAGCCTGCAGGTAAAGCATTAACACCCAGAGGTATCACTGTCAGCCTTCGCAAAGCGTTTCAGGAGGCGGGCGGTTAATGTTTGATGGGCAGGGACCTCGGGCAGGGTCAAGGTTATGGCTGGCCAGCACGCTGCATCTCAGCGGGACGCCCTCCGAGCCCCCAATGGGCTCCGCAGCAAGGGACACTGCTGGTAAGAGAAGAGAGGCTGCACTGTCTTGGGGAGAAGAGGGGGAAGCCAAAGATCAGTGAGGAGGGGCAGCCAAGGGAACAGCAGTCACACAAAAAAGTTTGGAAAATCAGGAAGGCAAGTCATGGGCTCCTATGAAATCCTGACAGTGTGCGATCCTGTGCAAATGCTGTGTGGCCAAAGCAGAGAAAATCCTCTGTGTGTGTCTTCCCTCCCAACCAATCTCTCAATCACCTGGAAAAATTAAGATGCTTATAACAGGAACGTTGGCTTCTAACTATCAATTTAGAGCAAGATGCTAATAACAACAACAACAATAATAACAATAATAATTTTTAAAAATGTTGCCTTCTACCTCAGAGCTTCAAAGAGCTTCCCCATTCCAGGAAACCTTCTCTAAACAAGTAATTTCTGCTGGTTAAAATGCAAAGATTCCCTCTCTGATTCTGTGCACCCAGCAAACATCTCTCCATCTGCTCCTCAAAACACTGAGCCAATTTCAGTTTGGTCTAGAGCACAGGCCAGGGGTTACCTGAGTGGAGATGGTGGAGGTGAACTGCGAGTGGTCATAGACCCATCCGTGCTGGCAGTGCTGGGTGACGGAGTTGTTTTCTGGTTGCAGGGAAGAATTGAGCAGCAGGTGAAACTGAGGCTGTGAGAACATCTCACAGGACCTAAAAGTGCCGTCGGGCTCCCGGGGGATGTTGATGAGCAGAACTTCCTCTGTGGTGAGGTTCACAAATGCCTCTTGGTGTGGAATTGCACAGTGATGAGAGGGAGTAGCAGCAAGAAAATTGTGCAGCAGGAAATGCATAGGAAGGTTGATTCTTGGGAGGCAGAGGATAAACAAAATCAAAAGCTGGAATCTGCCAAAGCCCCCTATTTCCAGTAAGAGATCCTCAAATTTCATCTTTCCTGCAGAGTGTGCTCATTCGGAGCAGCTGTGTGCCAAGGAGCAGCGACGTGAGCATGGGCAGCGGTCTCTGTCCTTGGAGCTCAACTTCTGATGGCTTTACGTACAGCCCCTTTGTTGGACTTTGAGACCCTGCTGAAAGGTTGCCAAAAGTCACAGCGAAACTCACCATTTGGGGTAGAGCCAAAGAAATTATCCTGTGGGCGCACAATGCACCCGTGTCAGTGGGCCCAGCGCGAGGTACCTTCTCTTTCTGGAGTCTTGTCGTCCTGTTGCGGGTTTTGGGAGAAGCCCACCTAAAGAAAGGAGGTTGTGGGAAGAGTGCTGTGAAAGCACTGTCGTTTCCGCCATGGGGGTACCCTGCGGTGTCTCAGACACAGCAACAAACTGTAGTGTGAGCTGACCGCCAGCCAGCCCACTTGGACCACGAAACAGGCCCCCAGGAGAGCAGGGGTGACCCCCTACGTGGGGATGCCCCGGGGCACCAAAGCCTGGTGGCTGTGCATCAGCTAAGTGGCTTTTAGTGCGGATTGTGCCAAGTTGTGACCTGGGAGCAGGGAGAGGGTGGGAGGGTGCCCAAAACAGAAGAGAGCTGAGTCTCTGGATGGATGCAAAGTGGGAGGTGAGCCCTCTGGGGAGAAAGGATGGGCTGCAGGTGAGGGCAACCAGCTCACTATTGTCCTCCAAAGGAAGGAGAAGGTGAAAATGCTCCCCACAAGGTCCCTTTCTTTGCATGGAAAAGTGCTTTCCCAGGATGCATGCAAGGAAGCGACGAGAGCTGCAGTGCTGGCACGCAGAGAGGCTGCGCCTGCCATACGGGGACCCCTAACATGCTCTGCACGGTCACAGCTGGTGGGTGTGCAGCTCCTGACAGGGCCATGGGTACTGCTGCCAACGCTGCACTGGCCTCCACTGCCTGCTCCAGGGAGCGGTTTCCTGGAAGAGGTGGGTCTTTTATGTGAATTTCCACTCTTCTTACGTTCTTAACCAAGAAAAGGAGCTCTTTAGTCACCCGGAGCCACTGCAGAGGAACAATAACGGATGGTGCGTGAGAGGCTGAAAGTGGCTGGTCATCAAAGGTGTGTACGTTGTGTTGTGTATGTGATATATACACCTGCTGGGTAAAGGCTTTGAGCCCCAGGTGTCAGGGAGCGGGAAAATTGCTGATTTTTTGGAATAGTTACAGAAACAATGTCTAGAAAACGTAGCAACTGGGGAGATGTGGCACTGGGGCTGGCACAGTTTGGGTCACACAACCAACATGGTTCAAGGAAGAGTGCTAGTCCATGAGCTAGGAACAAAAAGATCCAGCGTAAGTGGAAGCTCCAGGTATCCCAGGCCTGTTAAAATCTCCAGGAGATGTACAACGTCTCCTGTGGCTGACATACACCTGGCTGGAGGACGACTGGCACGTCAAGACAAGGTAGACACAACACCCTGCCCCACCGCTGAGCAAGCTTAGGAAATGGGATGAGCTTAGGGCTCATCTGGGAGCAGTGGAAGAACTGTGTCTGGAGAGCCTGCAGGACCCTTTCCTGCAAGTCCCATCACACCCTCGCCGTGTCTAGGTAGAAGGCATGGGCATGTTTCCCTTGGAGCGAGTGCTCTGGACAGGCTGGACCCATGGGGCAGCCCCTGGGATAACGCATCCCAGATGCATCCACACAGGTTCAGGGAGCAGTGCATCATGCAGCAAGCTGGGGCAGCACCCCGTTGCCCGTGCAAAGGCTACAACCCCTTTGCAGGACGCACGTGAAGCGTCACCATTACTGACAGCTTGCTCTACGTTGTCTCCTGCTGCATCTTCACGCTCGGTACCTCCTCCCCGCAGTCTGCGTCCTCCCTCCTCCACCAACCCTGCAGTCTTGAGTGCTGTAGATGCTGATATACCATCTCCAACCTTTCTCCAAGCTGCTGCCCTGGGACATGTTTGGCCATCCACCTAGCAAGCAGTGACGTTGGTGTTGGGATGCAGGCGCATGGAGAGACCGGGCACGGATAAAGGGCAAGTGCTGCCTGCTGCCAGGCGCTGCAGAGAGCTGCCTGCCCGCACAGCCGCGGCCAGTGATGATCTGCCCCAGCCCCTGCAGCACAATGCTGGGGAGAAAGGGCTGTAGAGCAGCGGGTAGAGATGAGAAGGTCTGAAAAAGCTTTTTGCCTTGCCTCTTGCTGTGGCTGAATGCGCAGGCTGAGTGTCACCCAGGTATTAAATGCTGCAAGGGCACAAATCACGCTGAGCAGGGTGTCTCCATGGGCTCACGCACAAGGCAAAGGATGGCATGCTGCGACCCAGGAGATCTTTGCTCTTTTCAGCAGCATTTCTAGCTGTCCTTGTTTAACTAACGTGCTTCGCTACAGGCTGTTTCGGTGTCCATCCTGGGACGAGCATGAAGGAAGCACACGGGAGTGAAGCAGGGACATCTGATAATGCTGTGCCTCCACGGTTACAGTTTAAGCTGAAGTTGAGCTACAGCACAAATTGTTTTTCTTCACCACTGGTCTCCTAAGGAACAGAAACTCTCACTGACTTGCTGTTGCACATTCAAACTGCAAAGCAGCTCCAGCCTTCCCATCAGAAGTGAGGGTACGGGTCATTGCTCTGCAGCTCCTGGGGCTCTGCCGTTCATACTGCAATTGCTTACAAGGTACATTGGCTGGTTGCTGCGTTTCCCTATCCCAATCATGGTCATTTAACCAATCACCAGATTTAGTTAATGACCACCGTGCGTACAAACGCTGTGACTGGCTGTGCCCTACCACTTGGTTATTAGACCCAGGACCTGATTCAAACGGCAGCGGTGAGAGAGGGGGACTCCTCTGCTGCTGCTTTCACGTATAAAGCTGGAGATCTGATCGGTCGGTGCTTAAATGGTATTTTTCTCCTATGGGAAAGCTGCAGACACTGAAATCCTCCCTGCCCTCCAAGTTGTGCCTGACTGCCGTGAAAATACGTGTCCATCAGATGAGCTAACTACCCTTGCTGCCAGAGGGCTGAGGTGTCCCCATCCAACTGCAGCTCGTGGCAGGCTGGGATGCCGGCGGGAGGGAGGTGTTCCACTCATGGGGAGTCTCCCTTTTTTCCATTATTTGCAAAGGCTCTTTGGACAGTGAGGTCCTACCAAGTTGGCCGAAGTTGGCTGAGGATGCCTGCAGTATCCATCTCAGGTGCACCGTACCGCGGCGGTGTGTCCAAAACCGCCCTTGGCGGGATGTGTGCGCACCAGGTGCTGTAGCTCAGTTGGAGAAAGTGGAGGAGAGTCCAACAAAGAGGTCCTGGGGCTCATGAAGTTCTTTGGTGTTAGAAGGAAGTGACTCTGTGCCAGTCTGAGTGGTGCTGCGTTAACAAGACTCCCACACTTTCCATTACCTGCAGCTGCTTTGTGTACAGACACTTTGCTTGGTTACACAAACAAATAACAACTATTCTGTAAGTAAACTGGTTCTGGCCAAAGCTTCTTTCCTTGTCTAATAGAAATACAGGCACTGATCCTGCTTTAATGTGAAACCACGTGAGCCACTGCCACATCTTCTGCTACACGTGGCCGAGGGCCCACAGCCAGCGCTGGCATCCTGCCTGTCCCTAGCCAGACCCTGCCGACCTGGCTCCTGCCACTTCCTACCGTCACCTTATGGAACGATTTTCTTTACATTTTCACCTCACCAGTGCTGTTGGGAAACTGTAGCAGGGCAGAGATTCAGCCCAAATTATTAGAGTGGGTTTTACTGAGGGAAGGGCAAACCTA